TTTTTGACCTTGTTATGTGTAGATACTGATTTTGCGTTGGTGTAGATGTAAGGATGAGTGGGTAGGTATGTATATAGTGTGTGATTTTGGAGTACTAAAATGGGCAAGTTGATGTGGTTTCTCATTTGTGTTTGGTATTGGTGGTAGCTGCACGTGTCACGAATTCACGTCCATATATACGAATTTTGGAGTACTACTGGGAGCATTTTTCTTGGTTTTTTTTCAACGACAGAAAATATTATATCTGATTACAAATTTAGAAAATGGAGAGTCAACTGGCACGGCTCCAAACAAAGATGTACAAGAGAGCCAGCCACTCTACCTAAGTGGCCTAAATACCAATAATCAGAGCCGGCCCTATAGATTATTAGGCCCTGGGCCAACTATAAAAGTAATGCCCCAATTTAAATTTTTTTTTTTTTTAATCCTAAGCATTTGGAATTGGAAGCAGAAACAGAAAAGCCACGCCTTTAAGGCTTTATGCACGGCTCTTCAGGTAATTAGTGGATATGGGCTTTTTTTAAATTTAATTGGGCCCAATCAATAATATGTATATGATATATATATAAAGGAAAATGGGTAGCTGGTGCCCCTTGGTTTAGTTGGGCCCTGGGCCGTCGCCCAGGCTGCCCTGGGCCTGGGCCGGCTCTGCCAATAATCTAACAAGGTAGCAACAACAAACACAAAACAAAACTAGGACAGGAATAAGTACCGAGATCCCTACTACAATTACGAATATGAGTTTGATTGAGTATGGATTGAATTTTTTTTATATCCAAGCACGTCCTTGTTTATCCTTGAATATGACTTTATTTGGACCTGTAACGTGTGGAATTTAATTATGACGTGCTTGATACAAATATAACCGCTTAAAATTGATTTTTTTTGTTAACCAAGTTTCAATTGTAAAATGGTGGTATGGTTAGTAGTTAGTGGGATGTTGAGTTTATATTAAAATAATTTTTATAAAAAATAATTAAAGTTGATTTGGTATAAAAATAAGAGACAGATTAAGTGAAGTGATAGCTTGTTAAAAATATGTGAGTGCATGAATAGTGAATTAAAGTTTATGTGATATATAAAATGATTGATTTATATTATTTAATTATATTCATAATATAAATCATAATGGATTTAGGTTAAAGTAGTTAATTAAATTTTGAATATGAGTTAAAAGTTTCTATGAAAAAATGACCCATAAATTTTTGGTTTGGTGGCAGTTCGTTTTAGGCTTAATTGCAGCATTAATAGACCAAGTAATGTGACATGTATATGAAAGAGAAAGGAGGCAAGAAAATTGTAAATTCGTGTCAATTCTATATCTCTTCATCATAGAGATAAAAAACCCATAACTCATTATTGAGTTCTGCATGTTCTATTTTTAGAGAAATTTTGTGAAAGCATACAAGATTAAATACCAGCTCAAATTAATTCACACGTCATGCATGAAGACTAGCTCCTTCTTTTTCCCTTCTGCACCCGTTTTTTCACCTGCACTATTTACCAGGCTTCTTGTTATTATTTTGTCTTTTATCTCTTAGGAATCTTTAGTGTTGTTCCAATAGAGTAAGGCCATGTGTACTCCTTCTAGATCCATCTTAAGCTGTGAGGATAGAATATATATATATCCGATCATCTTGTACAAAAATTGATCAAGTAATGAATTGAAATTGTTCCAAATGAAAACCCTAACTTGTCTTGTGTTCTTGTTCATGGAGATGATCGATCCTAATGAAATCCAATATGGTATCCGAGCGGGTTGAAGAACCTGGCTCTGATACACCATTCCCTTTTCTTCATGTTCTTTTCTTTCCTTCCTTTACCCTCATCCATGGCAGACACCACCGGAGCTCTCATTCAACCTCAAAGCCAATTGATTTCAGTCAAGCTCTCATACAACAACTACTTGATATGGAGACAACAAGTTCTAGCTGCTATTCGTGGATATGGATTGGAGGGATACATAGATGGATCTCTGCCACCACCACAAAGGTTCATCGTGGGAGAAAACAACAACCCAGTGCTAAACACAACCTACTCAAACTGGACCAGACAAGACCAACTTCTCATGTCCTGGCTGCTATCTTCTCTAAGTGAGAGTGTGCTCATTACTACTATGGGACAAGAGACATCTCAACAAATCTGGGAATCCCTCAAAATCAGCTTCAGCAGCCAGAATACTGCCAAGATTATGCAATACAAGCTTGAGCTGCAAACCTTGAAGAAAGGATCTATGGGAATGAGAGAGTATCTAAACAAAGTCAAATCAATCTGTGACTTACTCACTTCAGCTGGGCAAAGAATCAGTGAATATGATCAAGTGCTTCACATCTTAGCCGGATTAGGACCAGACTTCAACCCAGTCATAGTTGCTATCACCTCAAGATCTGACCCCTGCAGCCTTAGAGAAGCTCAGTCCTTATTACTCAATTTTGAGAACAGACTGGAGTCAAATGAGAACATCAACCAAAATGAAAATGGATTCTCAGTCAACATGGCCACTCAAGGACAAGGTCAAAATTTCAGAAGAGAAGAAGGAATCAATCAAGGTAAAGGCAGAGGACAAAACAATGGGGGCTTCTCAGGCAATAGAGGAAGACAAAGATCTTGTCCCTACAGAGGAAGAGGAGGAAGATACAAGAATGGGCCAAGATGCCAAATCTGCTTTTACACAAACCACACTGCAGATAAGTGCTACTACAGGACCAACCTCAACTTTGTGCCCAACAACAACAGCAACTTCAACAGAAACTATGGACAACAGGACCCCTCTTTCACACCAAGCATCAACACAGCCAACACTACCTCCAACAATAGCGTCACTGATTCCAGTTTTGATGGAGGATGGTATCCAGACAGTGGTGCTACCAATCATGTCATTTATGACATGGGAAACCTCAACCTAGCTGCAGAATATCAAGGGAATGAAAGGGTGCAAGTTGCAAATGGCTCAGGTATGAAGATTGCTCATCTTGGTAATTCTGTAGTTATGCCTCTTAATGATGATAGATACACTTTCTTGCTTAAAACCCTGCTGCATGTTCCTAACATCACTAAAAACTTAATAAGTGTGTCTCAATTTGCTAGAGATAATGGTGTTTATTTTGAGTTTCACCCCACTTTATGCCTTGTGAAGGATCTAGCCACAGAGGAAATTGTTCTCAAGGGGAAACTTGTTGATGGACTCTACAAATTTGATCTTAGCAAGGTTCAATCCCAGAAGATAGCTCAGAAACCCTCTACCTTCACCAATACCACTTTACCAGATTTCAGCTTTTGTCTCTCCATCAACTCTGCAGAAGAAAAAGATGTCTTAGGCTTATGGCACTCTAGACTAGGACATGCTTCTTTTGAGTTAGTTAAGAAAGTTTTGCAGAGTTGTAATATCCCTTTTCATGAGAATAAAAATCATCCTTTATGCCATGTTTGTTTGAAGTCTAAATTTAACAAGTTGGCCTTTTCAGATTCTATAGAAAAACACCTTAAACCTTTTGATATTTTGCATGCAGACTTATGGGGACCTAGTCCAATGAAATCTTTCAATGGCTTTAATTATTATGCCAGTTTTGTTGATCAGGCTACAAGATACACCTGGGTCTATCTTTTAAAACACAAATCAGACACAAGAAATGCCTTCATTCACCTCTCAAACCTCATAGAAAACCAACACCACAAAAAAAAAAAAAAAAAATGTTTGCAAAGTGATGTTGGTGGAGAATTTTTGGGACTGACATCTTTCCTGAATGATAAAGGAATTTTTCATAGGTTTTCCTGCCCCTACACACCTCAGCAAAATGACCTAACTGAAAGAAAGCACAGACACATCATAGAAGTAGCCTTGTCCCTTTTAATCCAGTCAGAAATGCCTCAATGCCACTGGGATGATGCTGCACAAGTGCAGTCTATCTCATAAATCGAACACCTTCAAAGATACTTCACTATAAAACCCCTTTTGAGCTTTTACATGGTCACACTCCCACTTACCAGCACCTTAGAGCCTTTGGCTATCTTTGTTTCCCCTACATGAAACCTTACAACAAGCATAAATTGCAACCAAAAAGTGTTGAGGCTACTTTTCTTGGCTACAACACCAAACATAAGGGATATAGAGTCTTACTTACTGATAAAAGGAATATAATCACCAGAAATATCTTATTTGATGAACAGTTGTTCCCTTTTAAACTTCAAAAACATCCCCACCCTATAACCACACCTCAAAGCACTACTGGTTTCATCCCTTTCCACTACCTACCTAATGGGACTTTACCATCCTTAACAACATCTCACCAGACATTTGCTGAAAATCCCATACCCTCACCACCACAGCAATCCCCTGTCACTTCACCATTAGTTCATTCTCCTTCTCACACCAACAATACAGCTCATACCCCTACTCCAATTCCCACTCATTCTTGTAATACCCAAAACTCTCACACTTCTACTTCAAATCATTAAGGAGGGCATATTACTATAGATTTATCAATTGAGCATAATTATGTACTTGATCCTAATGCAATTAACCTAAGTGCAGAACCTGCAGGAGGTCATCACATGACTAAAAGGTCTAAGACTGGCATTTACAAGCCTAAAACCTTCACTAACACTTTGCAGGACATGGACACACCTAAATCTTACAAAGATGCTCTTCTCACACCACATTCGAAACATGCAATGAACCAGGAATACAGTGCCCTCATCAAAAATCAAACATGGCAGCTATGCCCTCTTCCACCTAACAAGCCGGTGGTGGGCTGTAAATGGGTTTTTAAAAACCAAGAAGAATGCAAATGGATCCTTTGCCAAGCACAAAGCACGGTTAGTAGCAAAAAGATACACCCAAACAGCTGGTTTTGACTACAAAAAGACTTTCAGCCCTGTGGTTAAGCCAACTAGCATCAGAATCATCTTGACCATTGCTTTATCACAGAAATGGCCAATAAGACAGCTTGATGTTGACTCCTTAATGGATC